GTTGACTGTTTAAAAACCGAAACTGAAATACCCTGCAAAACGACTATTTGGTAAGTAAAATCAATGAATATGACTTTAATAGGGATCTAGAGCCAACTTGTCATAGGAACTTTCGTACAACTTCTAGTGGATACAGCCATAAACTTTCTATTTTTATTTTTCTTTATTATTGTGTACTCTAATAACAATTCGTGAAATTTTAATTCTAAGAATAAAAAATATATGGTTATAATCGTATTTTACTTCATAATGTTATGTTATTTTGTTCCAAAAATTCAAAATTATAATTTTTGTTTTCTTTTTAACTTAAAATATTTAAAATTTTTGTATCTCTCACAGAACATAACCTAATGGATTATAACCATCTAAGTATATCTAGTGAAGAATATGTTTGAATTATTTTAAGTGAAAAAGAATGAAAAATGAAAATTTTGAACTTAGTACTAGTTTGTTGCCGAGGCCGATTGTGAAAAACCCGCGCTCATTATCACCTAACGCCATCTATATGGAAGTCATAAAAAGAATTACTAATTATTAGTAATCTGTTTTTTCGACTTAACTATGTCCAATAACTACAGATGGCGCTAGAATATGGATATAATTCTTCACTGTTGAGTGGCCCATCCTTTAAAGGTATTGTCTATGATATCTACATCTACACATGTGTGCTTTTTAATGAACTACCATTGTTCTGAAGTGGAGGGAATCTTACTTATCTTGACGGGAACAGTTTTTTAGAACCACTGTACAACTTCAATAATCAGGACATATATTGTTCCGGTCAATGCCGGATTATTGAGGTATCCGGACTACTGGAAATATTTATTATTTTATCAAAAATCTCAAAATTGCATACATAAATATGTACATTTATTTCGTAATAGTGCTTATACAGGGTGTTTCATTGGTAAATGGGCATAAGTTAATTGCATATGGGGGTCACCTAGGTGGTTCCAAAAATCCATACTTCATGGGGCTGTCGCCCTTTATAACCGAGATACAGGGTGTTTTATCAATTTTGCCGATTTCTTTCTAGGCTCATAACTTTTGAAACACGCTGTATATTTTTTTGATATTTAGTATACAAGTACACCTTAATTTGTCAAATCTAGTGACGTATTAATAGTAGGGAAAATCTAGGTCCGGATTAACAAAAAATTTACAAATTCTTCGATACCTAAAACAACACCCTGTATATTATAATTTTTAATATCTGTTTACAGATTCAAAAAGAGCAGAAAAAATTGAGTTACACCAAGTGGTTTTTGGTATTTCCGCATACAGTTTTCTTACTTATTAATTTGAGTCAAATCTAAGTGTTCCGATAAAAAGATGAAATAAAATTAAAAAAAATATATTTTTTTTCCTAATTATTGACTTATCGAGATTTAACTAAGAAAATCGTCAACCTTATTGTATGCTCTTGATTATTTAAACCAATTTTATTGAAATATTCAACGACAGGTCCGTATTGAAGAAAAAATTCTAAATTTAACGACTAAATTATAGTAATATTTGTTAAAAAAGTAATATTTGTTAAAAAAGTAATATTTGTTAAAACAATTAAAATTTTAAGTAAATAATGAAAAGACACTTACATTTCGAACAAAGTACACCTTTACTTCAAAACACTAATCTGCGAAATAATTCTAAATTTTAATTGTTAAAAATACAGGTGTTGACATTGCAGGTGTTGACATTGCAGGAATGTACTTCCAATATGATGGGGCTTCACCTCATTTAAGGGTAGCAGTGAGAAACTTTCTGAATGATAACTTTCCAAATCATTGGATGGGCAGAGGTGGACCTCACAACTGGCCTGTAAGGGGACCTGACTTTAACCCAATCGATTATCATGTTTGGGGTTATTTAAAGTCGAAAGTGTATTCATCTGATGTAAACACTAGACAGGAACTTCTTCAAAGAATCGAGGATACCTGCCAAGAATTGAGAAATAATTCCGCTATGATTACTAGAGCAATACGAAATCTCACTAAAAGAGCTCAGAAATGTATTGAACAAAACAATGGCCACTTTGAGCAACTGTTATAGTTATTTGTTTAATTTTTTTTATTTTCGTTTTTATTAAAAAATTTTTACATAATTATTTCTTACTTATTTTTAGTTCCTTTCTTATAATAAATAATATTTTGTAATGATTGCCCCCTAATTGTGTCTCAAAGCAAAATTGTGATTTTTTTCGAAAAGTGAGTGTTTTCACCTTTTCTTATGTGTATAATATTTTACGTTTTTAACAAATATTACCACATTGTCGTTACAAGTACAAGGCGTATTGAAATTAGAATTTTAAGACTTTTATACCCAATACAGACCTGTCATTGCGTTTTTTAAAAAAGATTGAGACCCAAAAATTAAAAGAATGAACGAGGTTAATTAATATTATAAATATAACTTGGAAATTAAATACTTAATTAGGAAAAAAATATTTTTTTTAATTTTATTTCATCTTTTTACCGAAACACTTTGATTCAAATTAATAAGCAAGAAAACTGTATGCAAAAATACCAAAACCACTTGGTGTAACCTAATTTTTTCTGCTCTTTTCGAATATGTAAACAGATGTTCAAAATTATGATATACAGGGTGTTGTTTTAGGTATCGAAGAGTTTGTAAATTTTTTGTTAATCCGGACCTGGGTTTTTCCTATTATTAATACCTCACTGGATTTGACAAATTTAGGCGTATTTGTATACCAAATATCAAAAAAATATACAGCGTGTTTCAAAAGTTATGAGTCTAGAAAGAAACCGGCAAAATTGATAAAACACCCTGTATCTCGGTTATAAAGGGCGACAGACCCATGAAGTATGGGTTTTTTTTAAACCACCTAGATGACCCCCATATCCAGTTAACATATGCCCATTTACGAATGAAACACCCTGTATAAAAAAATAGCAAATACACTAGTGGAAAAAATTAAGGAATCAAATAAAAATCTCGATTTTTGCGATTTTTCGAGTGGCTGTATCTTTGGTAAAAATGGTCGTACGTGAAAAAAAAAAAGCAATTTGAATCTTGAAGTGTCTAGTTTATGGATCTTGCGATCAAAAAATTTTCCAACCAACAATTAGCACAAAAACTTGATGAATATCATGGATAGAAAAACGCGATCCTTCAATTTCTTCAAAAATTAACTCGCATGAAACAACGAAACGGCTTGATGGATCAGTTTGAATTTTGGAGGGTTTTCGGGGGAACAATGGCCTGTAAGAAGCATACTCCTGTGGCTGCAGCAACACGATCATTTACATTTTTAAATGGTATTGAAGGTGAATTAAAGTTTCCTTCTCTTCTCATAAACTCTATAACATTGGCTATTATTTTGCGAGATTGACTGTTAATCACGCGGCCTCTTAATTTGCTATTAAACTCCATACTTAGGTTCTATTAAATTGTAATGAGCAAAAACACAAACGAAAATAAAAGAAATGTTTTAGCGAAATTTACATCTGACATTTACGTCTGAATGAAATACTGAAATACTTGATGCGCAGAGTGTACTTTCATTGCGTAAATCCGTCGGGATGCCTGTCAGTAGTGCTTTCTCTGTCTAGCCGTCGAAAGCCTCTAGAAATTTGATGAATTCGCCATCGTCGATCCTAGTGGGATATAGCTCCACGCCAGGCTTGCTCTAAACAATCGCACAAGGAGAGGTAGCAGGAGTTCCTGTCCTTTTTGTAAAAGGGCGGGAAAAATTCCATCCTCTCCGGGTGATATGAAGGGGGAGAATGAATTCATCGCCCATTTCACGGCGTTTGGAGAGACAATTTGTACCACAAAGTTATAGTCCTCCTGTTTGGGTCGTATAAAAATTTCTAGTAAAAGAACATACCAGAAACTTGTAGAGAATGAATCGAAGTTTCAGAAACCTCCTTCCATTTTCTGAGCGGTCATTGGTTCCTGAGATATTGACGAGAGAAGAAGAAATGACGCATTTTCGTTCATTTTCTGTTAACTCAGCAAGGAAGGGTCATCTGGAGGCTATCAAAAAAGGAATTGAAGTTAACTGAACCACCTATCCAATGCATATAGTGATTATGTCAAGAAAATTTTTTTCAAGTCCGTACACTAAAAATTAAAAAAATTTTTTTTTCAAAAAATTTCCATCCATAATATTCATCAAGATTTTGTGCTAATTGTTGGTTGGAATTTTTTTTATCGCAAGATCCATAAACTAGACACTTCAAGCTTCAAACTGATTTTTTTTTCATTCACATACGACCATTTTTACCAAAGATACAGCCAATTTCAATGTTATAAAACTATAAAACTACAATATACGTACTTATGTAGGTACATATAACATAAACTATGTAATTTAATGTATATAATTTTTATGTGTTTAACTTGGTTTTAATACTCCTGTTTTTGACTAGTTTAAACGCTTTTTTTGAGTAGCAATATGTCTTGAATTGGAAAATCATTTTTCTCTGCCCATTGAATGAATAATGATAATGACCTCGCAGCGTCACCGTGTTTTACTCTCTGCACAATTCCTCCTTCACCAAATTCATTCTGTTGGTCTTTATTAACTATTGCCTCGTTTATTATGTCTTATTCTGTTTGGTCTACAATAGTGTCTTTTTCTCCAGTCGCCCACTGGATAATATCATTGCTACTTAAGTCATTTTCTGGAGTAGTACTGTACTACATATTCTCGTTTATTATATGTTAAGTGGGGCGTTCCGCAAGGCTCAGTTTTTAATCCGTTCTGGTTTTGATGTATGTAAATGATCTTGCTTTTTTTGATATTTAAGTCGACTTTAAACTACTTACTGATGATATAATAATTATATATCATTTTGAAGATACAAGCGAGCATCTTCTTATGATATATCGTGATCTTTTAAACATTAATGAATGCGATGCCAACTTTGCAATTTAAAATAGCTATAACATGAATATAATAAACATTTTTAATGCGGATAGATTGTAGTAGAATTAGGTGAAACACATTTATTAAAATTTAGCTTACATACCTTCAAAACTCTTTGAATTTTGCAGTTCTATGGTAACCAACCCTTCTGGTTCTTTAAATGGCTCAGGACTTGGAGATTTATCACCCCCGTGATCACATATCGTTTTAGGAGAAACCATATTTTAAATTTACACCTTTTTAATAAATTTTCACCTGTTCGACTAAGCGTATCAACATTTCGCGATAATCCAAACACAGCTATTAGCAATACTAGAACAATGCCGTGTAAGCAGTACCTACATAAGGTTTTTGTATTGTCAGCAGATTTACATTCAGCATTGAATCAGATACAAAATATGTCACCGTAAAATACTACATATTAATTTGTTTATTTAAATAACCGAAGGACTTCGCACACTGAATAATGCAGCCTGGGGCTTATAAAATTCTGTGAAATAATCACTAATTTTTTTAATTAATAGCAAATATTTTTTCTTCTGCTTTAATATTTAATATTTTCAAAAACAAAAAACATAATTTTTTAAATTAATTACTAAGCGACTAGTTTTGGCCTTAATTGGACATATTTAGGGAAATTGTCCAAAAAATTCCATAATAGAAATGAATATCCAAACAAAGTTGTTTATACTTAATTAAATTAAAGTTATGTGTGTGTGATTAGATTTAGGTTTCCCTTGGTTAAAACCATATGACAAGTTCTGAAAATTATTCTACAATTATATAGAGTTGTATACAGTTGTCAAATAAGTGGTTAAACAAAGCAAAATATAGAATTAGAGATATTTTTAGTGGCCATTATATAAATGATTCTAAAATCCAGGAAAACGAGACTTGATAGAGCATAATACAAAAAGCTATATTAAAGCTTTGATTTTATGAAAATTTTCTTGATTGCTGGATAGGGTGGAGGCTGCCTCCTAAATCGGGATATCTGGCATGTGGCAACCCTATGTGCTCGATGCAGCCACCACTGGTATTCAGTGGTGCTGCAGTGCTAGAGTACCAATGAAATAAGTAGAAATACAATATAAAACATTTATTAATTATCATGAATTTAAAAAGTGATTTTTGATGATTAATTAATACACATTCTATATACACAGGGTGGCCATTTGAAAATAAAACAGCCAATTTTGGGCACCCCAGGTCATTTACGAAAAACGCTTGGACCCGTCAATTTTTGATTTTAGGGGAATCACTTGTTTGCTAGTTTCACCCGCTGAATGGAAACCCTCTAGCGGGGGTCAACTTACTCCTAAAATCTTAAATGGAAAGAGGAGTCGAATGATAGCTAATTTTAAAGTATTTTTACATAGATTATAACTCCAGAGTTTTAAATTGTTACTGTCTTCATAGCCATGATTCTTTTGAAGATTTTTATTTCTGTAAAAGCTTACCAGTTACTCGAGTAAAGCTGACCCTGAGCCTTCATGCAATAATAGAGGTTTTGTTCAAAACGCTCTCGGACATTTTGAAGCATCTATGGGGTGATTTGTTGACATTCGTCAATAATTATGCATTGTCAAAGATTTTCCAGTGATGTTGGCTGGATGGTATAAATTTTAGTTTTTAAGAAGCCCCATAAAAAATCTAACGGGCTTAGATTCGGAGACCGTGGGGGCCACTCCATACTTCCTTTTCTTCTGATTCATTGACCTGGAAACGTTTGATCCAAATACTGACGAACAGTGGCGCACCGTCTTGCTGGAATATTAAGTTGTTTGCTATATACTGATCGTTATTCTCAATCAAATCTGGATAAATGGCGTTTTCTAATAATTTCAGGGCCAATTATGCGGTTACCAAAAATGCTAGCCCAAACATTTAGTTTTTCCGGATGTTGTGAATGCACTTCATGAAATATTCTGGGATTTGAATTGAACCAATAACGACAGTTGTGACGATTAATTGTACCGTTTAGGAAAAAAGCGCATTAGTCTGAAAAACACACGTTGAAAAGAAATTGCTGATCATTCATTGCCCGTTCAGTCATAATTTCACAAAATTGTTGGCAAAAGTAATTTTTTATTTGCAACCTTTTACCCACATCCTATTTTCTGTTCGTATCGGGGGTATGTGTTAAATTGTGTTCAAGCAGAATGCAGTTAAATTACTGAATCTATGAAATTGTTTTTTCTACCAATTTTCTCTAAAAACGTTCCACAAAACTCTAATTTTTGATAAAAATCATCTTCTGGTTTTGAATTTTATAACAGTGGAACTTATTTTTATACAAAATGTTTTCTACATGTCGAGAGGAAGCGACCTTTCCATTTAAAAAATTCAAGATGGGGACGATACACTAAACGTTAACATTACATAAATTGTTCCAAAAAAATGCAAAATACACCCTACAATTTCATAATTATAATACATTCATTATTTCAAAGAAGATACCTTGTTTCCACTCTTTTTCGCTACCCTGTATAATTGCACTCTCTTTATGTTTGCTTTGCCACTTTATTTTTAATTTAGTTTTCTTGTATTTCCATAAAAAAAATTTAAATGTATTTGTTTAAATATCTTAAAAGATGGATTTTATTAAAAGTCCTTAATCCACTTACAGCTTTAAACATCCAAATATGTAACTGTTGGACAATAAGCTGTTATTTATTTATTATGTACCAAATGAATTCCCTTCAAATATTATCTATATTTCAGTACTAAAGCGGGATCAGCTCCTCGTATAGTGACCCTTAGAATGTGCAGCGAGGGGGCCCTGGATGTCTCTCTCTCTGGAAGATAAATAACCCCTCAGTAATTGCGTGCGGAACGATACCATAATTCATACACGCCATGAGCCATAACTTAGAAGGCAATTACTATGAGTAGGTCATTTATCATCTCGACTTCTCTAGACAAGGGTGCCAAGCGCGCCAGTTGATAATCGAGATTAAATTGATAAAGAATCTATTCCTGCCAAAATCATACTGAAACTTCGCTTTTCACTGAATTGACAGCGTATCATATTTCAATTCTTTGCGAAGAAGCTCCAAGAAGTTTAACTTATTGGATTATTATTTTTATCTTTTACCGGGATAACATTAGGGAGTTTCATTAGGACACGGACATATAATTGAGGACTTTATCCTTTATAACAGATAAACAGGGTGTTTTAGCAATTTTACCTATTTATGTCTTAACTTATAACTTACCAACTACCCGGTATATATTTTTGACAATTGACACACGTATTCTCCCTACCCTACAGAATTTACTGAGGCATAAATAAGAAGCGAAATCTAGATCCTATTTACAAAAAATTAATTAATTCGTACATCCTTAGAACAACACCCTGTGTGTCTGAATTTAAATTTTGTTTGCAATAGCAATTTACGTTACTAGACTGGAAAGTAGTGTTTTACAGGTCGAGACAAGCAGATTGGAGAAACCAGCTTAACACTAATTTTCGGTCGCATGACGTATAATATTTTTTTTAAGACCGACACTTCGATGTAAACTCAATTATTTATTTTATTTATTAAAGTGATTAACAAATACCAAAACTAGCTAATAGATACAACTGCATAAACTAACCAAATACACTATTTTTCTGTGCCAGATATCTGAATCCATATTTTTAAATTTGTGAAAACAAGTTTGACATAAACAACAAATTAAAATTCAACGAATTGTCACTTGGCAATAAATCGGAATGTTGTTACCATAGTAACGAAGTTAAGGCAGACTCTATTATCAAACAGCAATCGTAAAAATGAAAAACAGGGACCGGTAAAAGCTTATCTTTGTTTTAATATTTTCAAATAAATAATATATATCAATAAACCCCATAACTTTATAATTATTACATTATTTTTTTTTTAACTAAAGTGAACCTAGGCTTCCTGCATTAACCCTTTCGACCCCAGGCCTAAATTAAAATGATGGTCCCCCAGGCTCAGCCTTTTTTTGCCCTGAGTCCCAGCCGCCGTATATATACGTCTACTACAAATGAAGATAAACAAATGCGAAAAAATGTTTTATTGAGGAAAACTATACTTTATAATAGCAAAACGATAAAAAAGCTTAAAAAATATTTTTTTAGTGAAAAAATTAAAAGGTTTCTTTTGTGTGGTAGACTCCAAAACATGGAACTACATACAGACCAACTCCGCAATTTGCGCACATGTATCTGGTTTTACTTTTTTTTGTCGCACTGTGGCTGCAAACAAGACATCTTTTGACCTTTTTATTGGGAACTGAAGATTGTTAGTCAAAGGGCAAAAGAGTTGTACCTTGGGTACATTATATCTGAAAGAAGAGAGACAATTGTAATATGTTATGGAGTGGTGTAGTGTAATTTGAAAAAATAAATGTAGTAAACTTACTTATCGAAAAGTTTCCGAATGAGTGTTAGCTGCAAATCTGCAAGAGATACTCTGTCTGTGGATTGCGTCAAATACAGCGCATGTGCGTTGAATATAGCCAGATCAAACATGTGAAAACATAGCTTCTTATACCATTTTGTGCTTTTTCTTACACACTCTGTGGAGCTTAGCATCATGTTAGCTCGATCTATTGCACCCATGTTTGCATTATAATCTACAACACAAGCTGGTTTTTTATAGGCTCTTTCGTCCAAAGTCCAAAGTAACCATTTTGAAATACTAAATGATCTGGCAACCCACAACAAGGTAAAACTGGCGTGGGTACCAGGGCACAAAGGTGTTCAAGGAAATGAAAAGGCTGATGAACACGCCAAGGAGGGATCAGATCTACCATTCACAGGACCCGAACCTGTATTTGGGATAAGCAAAACCTCTACTTGACAGGCAGTGAACAGGTGGATAACCATAAAACACCAAATTCACTGGCAACAGGTAAGAGGGCACAGAATCAGTAAGCTCATGCTAAAGGGACCAAACCCACGCATGGCTACTGAGGCACTACAACTCGCATGGCCTCAGAAATCCACCATTGTGGGATTACTAACGGGGCACTGCTTGCTGAAATACCTTCATGTAATGGGATTACACAATGATCCCAATACGTGTAGACTTTGCATGGAAGAGGAAGAAATCTCATACCATGTGATCTTTGAATGCGAAGCTATTACTGGGTGACGTTTCATCCTTTTCAGCCTAGAACTGGAATGAACACCCCAGAAACACTTGGTAGGAAACCTATTAAAACTAACCCAAGACACACGACTATTCCAAATATAGTACCTGAATACGGGGAAAGCAGGGGAATACAATAGACCCAAGAGGCCGCAGCTTAGATAAAAGAAAC